CGCGAGGATTGATTCCAGTGGCGATCCGCTGCACACAGCTGCAATTCTGAAACCGTGGCATTTGTTGTATTCTTTGAACGCTAGTCAGCTAGTCTAGTAATGAGGTCCGTGGTTTTGTCAATGTCTCAAGTTCCTGTAAAACTGCTGGCGAAACCGACAAAACGATACGCCACGTTGAAGACCCATGGCCCATGACTCACCACCACTAGTACTACTACTACTACGACGACGACGACGACGACTACTACTACTACTACTACTACGACTACTAGTACCGGTGCTACTAGCAGTATTGGAACGGGAACTGGACTAGTACTTCTACTACTATGGCTGCGCACCTGACTGTATTTGGTTTGTAGATCGATTGTTGAGGTTTGCTCAATTTCGGTGTGAACAGCTAAGAAGCCGATTAAGTCGAAGAGCCGCTGTTGCTGGGCTTGCTGTGTCACTTGTCAGTTTTAGGAAGTGGGGCGTGAAGTCATCGCTACTACTAGTAGCAGCCTTTCTCCAATAGTAGCTTAGTTGAAAAGTATTCGTAAGATTACTTGAGATGTTCTTTATACTTTATTCTTTTGGAAAGTAGCGAGTCCGGTGATTACGACTGCTAGTAGCAATCTTTCTCGAGAGGAAGTCTATTGAACATGCGTGAACTTTCAAACCCTGATTACCGGACGTCCTACATTACACTTAAAACCCCTAACGGCCTAAACCCCTTAAAAAAACTAGAAACGCCGACGAACAAACACCTGGACCCAAATCCTCTGGTTTAGTTTGGCGGCTTTAGGGGAAGCCGATGTTTTGTGGTGCTTGGTGGGGGGCTTTACATGGGTTTACATGGTTGTGTAGCTTTAATCACGGGGGTAATACGGCTTGGTAGGGTTATAAGGCCTTTGCAGGTTTTTATAAGAGGCTTGATATGGTTTGTTAAGTGCTAAGCTTTCTGCACAGGACATCACTGGCACACACCAGCATCCTTTCGTAATTTCGCATCCAGGGTAGTAGGGTTTGAGGGTTTAGGATTTGTGGACTCTAGGGTTTACGTCTTCCTTGTGTTCAAGATATGACGTCGCAGTTGTGTTCATGTTTATGTCATTGTGTTCATGATATTTACGATGTCGGCCTTGACTGCGCCAGAAACACGCCCCCCCCCTCCCCTACGCCCTACGCGGAATTTACACAAAAACAGCGATCAACACCAGGTCGAAGCAATATATTCACTTTTGCAGGGAATCAAAGCTGTAGTTACGTGTTCAAAGGCCTTCACAACGAGAGGAAAGAAGCTCAGGAACTATATCCCTTTTCCGGACTGGCTGACAGCGCTTCAAGGCATTGCATGTATATCTTTATCTATATCTATATCTATATCTATGTCTATATACCTATACCTATGTCTATGTCGATGTCTATGTCTCTATATATATATATACATACATACACAAATAGATACATACACACACCCACACACACACACAAAGTGTTGAAGCACCTCAACTCGGCAGCTGGAGCTCTGCAGCTTTGAGAGAGCTCGCAGGAGTTCAAGAAGCAACTGGCGAACGTTCAGGCTTCTTGCTTACCTTTTCCGGAGAAGTTGTTGGTTGCAAGCGATGTAGAGGCATCCGCAAGCGCCGGAGTTACGCAGCCGTCCTACTCGCAGGCTCGTTGCAAGAGGTGTCATGGGCTTCATGGCCATGACCGCAGAGAGAATACTCCTCCAATGAATGCCGATCTCGACTGAGCCTTTCTGCAAACTGTAGTCTTTCATGCAAGAGCTGGGCCTTCCCTACTCCCAGGTTTTCAGCTCTGAAAGTTACAGGAAGTTTTCAAAGGAACAAGCGATGCTCGGTCAGGCTCTTGCCCCATAAGAACAGAGATCCAAAGCCGTGTTCGGTTGCAGCCCCGAAAACGGGGAAGACGGTTCAAGCACCTTACTGGCCGAGCTATCGAATCAATGTTGATACCATGGTGCATGCTGCACTTGTTGCTGCCCTTGCTTCTCGGTGTGTTTGCCGCAGAAGACAACTGCACTGCCACGGAGGTAAGCCTGATGCAGCACCGAGAGGTGCATAAGGCTGGCTCGCTGGGCACCCTTACTCTCAGAACGACCAATGAGTCTCTGAGGGCAGAGCACGAGTCTATCTTGGACGATGCCTTACAAGCGCACAAGGGATGCTCAAAAGGCAAGAACTGCAGCTTTTCGGAGCATTCGCCGATGTTTCCAACGCCAGCAACAACAGGCGCCCATGAAGAAGACGTATGACAACGGGGTGAGGTCGCCGGCTCTTGGTTGGAATTCTTGGAACCAGTTTAACTTGGATGTTAATGAAGCCAAAGTCCTGAGCGTCGCTCGGTCTATGAAGAGTTCCGGGCTGCTGGATAGCGGTTTTGAATACATCATCATCGATGACGGCTGGGGTATGCCCGAGAGAGATCAAGACGGGCGAATGCAGGCCGATCCGGCAAAGTTTCCAAATGGCATCAAGTGGCTTGCAGAACAACTGCATGGCCTTGGGTTCAAGTTCGGTATCTATACCAGTGTTGGAGAGACGACATGTGGTGGAGGCCAGCCTGGGATCATGGGCCACATCCAGATCGATGCAGCAACCTTTGCATCCTGGGATGTGGATTACGTCAAAGTGGATCGGTGCGGCTGGCCTGGGGAATTATTCTTTGCACCAGGCCTTGACGTTGGGGACCTACCGGAGTTTGCACGGATCGTTGCTGGCATCGACTACCCTGAAAACGGCAACTGGGACTGTTCCGGTCTCATGCTTTTTGTTCTGGTTCGGGGATGTGTTGGGTTTTTTGTGCAGGATGTCATGTCTGCTTTCTAGGGGTGGCTGCAACATGCGGAGGCAAGTATCCGGCATCCTTCTATCAAGTGTCTGGCCGGGTGGAAGGCTACCAAAACTTCAGCGCGGCATTAAACAGCACGGGTCGGACAATGTACCTGGAGATTTGTGATTGGGGCGAAGATGACACACTTGCGTTCGCGCCACAAATCGCAAATTCTTTTCGAGTGCTGTGGGACAACTTTCCGCAGTGGCACCGCGTCGAAGAGATATATGAGTACTATGCCCAGGTGCTAGCAATTCCAGCTTCAACGAGACCTGGCGCATATGCTTTCGCAGACATGCTGGAGGGGGGAGTTGATGGCTTCCTGTACAACAGGGACACTTTCCCGGCGTCCAACTTGACAAGAAGGGAGGCAGCAACCGAGCATGCGATGTGGTCAATGTGGAGTTCCCCTCTGATCCTCGGCTATGATGTTGCAAAGCCTAGCAAGGCGTGGGTAACCGAGATCATGAAGAACCCAGCTCTCCTCAAGATCAATCAGGACCCTTTGGGCATAGCTGCCCGCCTCGCCGTCCGGAAGCAGAAGAATTTTTGCCCCATCTCCGATTGTTACCACACAGATGTGTGGGTGAAACCGCTTGCTGAGGGTGACGTGGCTGTGGCACTGGTAAACGTCGCCGGGGCCTACAATCAGAACAACATATTCTACACAACAGAATCTATTTCGGTAGCGTGGGAGACGCTGTGGCTCAGTCCAGAAACCAACGTCTCAGTGTATTCTGCAACGGAGCAGAAGGACTTGGGCGTTATGAGTGGATCTGTTTCGATGGATGTTGAACCACATGGCGTTACTGTTCTGGTTCTGACTCCACAGAAGACCACTGTGTAGCATGATTGCCACCTCCCGAGTGGAGCATGTAGCCATCGTGGCATAGTGACGAGCGCTCATTCAAAGGAATGGGCCGTCAAGGACTTGGGATTAGGACCTCTCTAGGTCGAGCTGCTAACGACTGAGGATCGTCGAGACATTTAGTTTGTATAGAAGAGGCAAAGCCAAGAATCTCGACGGTCAAACCGGCGCCATATCTGCACATGGCGGCAAGAAAAACATCAGGCTTCCCTCTGCAACATTGTGCAACAGCGTGGTTAGTTACAAACGGGATGTCAGAGATCGCAAGTTTCCCAGTTTGTTGAAGCTGCCGCGCTGAAGCCCAATCGAACCAAGTCAGGCCAGAGGCTAACACCCAAAAACGCACGCCCCGGGCCATGTAAACGAAGCTCGGCATCTTTGAATCCACCCTAAAGCACATTGGCAGGCTCGCGCGGCAGGCTCTCTGCAGGCTCTGCCCTCTCCGTTTGGAATTTGTTGCGAAGCCTCCAATGTCTTTCGAAAATATTCGAGATGTCGCTCCGGAGGAAATCTGTGCACGCGTCAGCGATGCGCTTCGCCGTAAGGCCTGCGTTCGGCTTGCTTGCTACTGCCCGCAGCGGAGAATTCGATTCATCCCTTGCAACCTTGCAAGTCTTTCGGTGCAGGGCCAGACGCCGGATGCGCTGTTCGACGCCTTGGCCACGGCCCTAGTTAGTTGCCAGTCGCTCTGTCGTAGGTATCTAGTTGATGGCAAAATCGCCTCTTGGCCAAAGGCCGCCGGTGGACAAGAAGTTCGCTGGCCGGACTTCCGGGCCCTCTTCGCGCAGCTTGAGCACGGTCCTCTTCGGGGCAAATCGAATGAATCACTGGAGACGCAGCATGAACCGATTAGGCCTTCTTTGGGAGAGGGACAGCTACAGCAGCTCGCATCTCGGGGATCGCTGCGAGCGGTCGTGGCACCACCTGCTCCGACCGCAGCTTGTGCACGAGCAGCTTCCATGGGCTCTTTTGTGCGCCGACGAGGCTGTGGATCACCTTCGATACCAATGCCGACGGTGGCATTTCCCGCGAGGATTTGCTTTCAGCGGCAATCTGCTGCGTGCAGTTGCGATGCTCGTGTAGAGCAATTCGGTAGCAGAGGCCAGGGAGGCCTCCGACGTATTGCAACCTTGGCACCTCTCGCAGGAGTTCAAGAAGCAGCTTGCGAATGTTCAGGCATTCTGCCCCACTTGGCTCCGAAGGGTTTTCAGACTTGGCATTCAGCCCATACGCAGGCTTCGGCCACAACGGGTGTCACACAGCCATCCACGTCCCAGGCCTGGTGGAAAGTTTCTTGGAGACGCTACTTTTGCTCTGTGGCAAAAACATCACAGACGAAACGTGCATTCAGCAACGGTACTGGTCGTGAGTTTCAGAGAGATCCGAGCAAGCTCGTGATCATTCGCCTGAGATTTGTGTCTGTTGACACTTGCCGTGGAGCTCGTCGTTTGCTCATATGTTCTGCAACCTCTGCAGCAGATCGCTGATTCGTAGAGGACTCGACCGCCGAACTCTTGAAGCACGAATGCCGAACATGCAAGCCACGGAGACCTGCACATGCTTTGCGCAAAAGATTCAAGATATTCAAGCTGTGTGAGCTTGCGTGATTTGGGCCTTCTGGCCGAGAAGCTTAGGCCTCAGGAGGCAGGTATCGCCCTTCGTGGGCAGTGTAGGCATGCTGGCCAGGCTCGCCCGGCACCGTCGCTGAAGGACTTCTGCAGAAGAGCTGTCCTCCTCTCCGAGAACTTAAGCGCAACTGCCATGTCACACTGCAGGACATCTGTTTGCGTGTCAGCGACGCCTTGCAAAGGAAGGCCGGATTTCGGTATCGTGCTGTGCCGCTGCGCAGCTCCCGGTGTCTAGCCATCGTGGCGCGGGGAGACTAGTGGTGCGTAAAAGTTCATAAGGTGCCCTGTGTTTTTGATGCTCCGGACTTTCATCTGCCGTCAGCACATTTCTGGAGCTTCTGGGTTGCGCCTTCGGGTCATGCTGAGCCATGCTGGCGCCTGCTCGTGCTTGGAGACCTATCGGGCCTGCCAACCAAAGACTGATGGGCCCTCAGTACCGCCAGCTCAGTTACAGTTAGCTTCCTGAAGTGACGGCCAGTGCGACTTCTTGGTTGTAATCCATGCTGCCAGTGGCTTCTGCATATTTCATACTGTTATTTTCCTCTGCACCTAGAGCTCCGGCCACCCCGACGTCTTTCAACAGAAAAGAATGAGGCCGAGAGGCAAAAACAACATGCGACGTAGTGTGCAATTATAGAATGGGCTGCATTGTTGTAATGGCATCATGGGGATACCACACCGGTGGCGGGGGCAGTGGCCGAGGTGACGAGCAAGGGCTAAGCAGTGGTTGCCCGAAAAAGTTCCACAAAAAGCAGATTTTAGAGAAGAACACGAGGAAGAAGCCCGCCCAGAAGTCATACATGCCACCGACAACAGTCGCAGGTTTGCCTCTAACGTGAGCTGGCATCCAGCTCCTATCATGAGTGACGAAGCACGAAGGCTGCTTCAAGTCGTAGGATGCTGTAGGTGAGAGCCGCCGCATCCGGGAGGGAGGAAGAAGCCGTTGGAACCACAAGCAGGACTCTTTCCGGGAGTCTGCTGATCACAGACACTTCCCGAAACCTCGCTGAGGTTGTTCAACTCCCGATCCCAAGCTGAGGTTGCAGCCTCGACGCTCGGTTCCACCGCTGCCAAGCAGACTCAGGGGCAAGGCAAAGACGATCGGAGCCGCCAAGGACGGCGGCCTTGAGGCAGCGACAGGGCCAAAGACGAGCTCGTCTGAAGTCTGCCTTTTTCCCCCCCCTTTAGGCCCTAAGCCCTAAACCCTAAACCCTATATAAACCCTAAACCCTAAACCCTATATAAACCCTAAACCCTAAACCGTTTCCCTAGTGCTGTATAGCGCATGGGGAAAGTGACGCGTCCGAGCAGGCGAAGCCGACCCGTCAGATCTTCAGCTTGGCGTGGCCAGCTGTGTTGGGAGCATCAATCGACCCCCTGCTTTCGCTTCTAGACACGTACTGGGTGTCGCGATGCCTGGGAATGCTCTCCCTGGCCGCTTTGGGCCCCGCTCTCAATGTCGAGGACAATCATGCCAGTGCCAGCAATGAAGTGTTTTGGGCCAGCGACTCTGCCTTGCAGGATTGGATGTTCGACATCCTGAAGACCGTTCAAGTGCCCGTGCGCTCGCTGACTTCGGAGTCAGCAGCTGCTGGTCGACCCAGGGAGGTGCAGGAAACCCTGTCGCAGGCAGCAGCAGCTCGAAGCAGAGCGTATGCGAATCCTGCACGCACATCTCCAGTAGAATGCCATACAGCTTTGTCTCGGCTTCCCCGCCCTTGCCTGCAGGCATTGTGCTTCTGCTGGAGGATCGGGCTTGCCGTTGTAGCCTGGCTGCCTTCCGTGATGGCTGTTGCTTCTTTTCAATTGTTCTGTTTCCTCTCTTTCCCCCCACGATATTCAGAAAACTTCAGGATCTGAGTATCGAGCCGAGTAAATGGAGTAGATGGCGGCTGAGGCCCTTCTCGGATCGGCGCTTTCGACTTGCCTCCTCAGATTGTCATCGGTTGAGGCCTCATCGCCTTTGTCACTTGGCCCGTTTAGCGGGGCCTCGAGTTGTCAGAGAAGGGGCACAGCCAAGGCTTGAGCCTGCCAAGGCCTATCTTGCCGGTGCCTCATGGGTTTCTTTACGTCGCATATCATCAAGTCACGGGGTAATGGTATGGGAAGATGAGGAGACCCGATGACTTGCCTCGGTCTGAGGTCCCGCGGCTGTGCGGTGCACCGGGGCTGCTGACACTGATCGTTCTTCAGGCGGCGCTCTCGGGTGCCTTCCGCGACACCACCGCAGTGCTGCGCCTGGTCCTGCTGGGCGCCGGGCTCAATGCGGTGCTGACACCAATCGGCGTTGCGACTCTGCACGGCGGCACTGCCGGGTGCCCACTGGCATGTGCTGCCGCTTGGGTCCGTCATGCTGTCCTGTGATGTCCTGTGTGCATTGTTCGCGCCAGGGCTGCGTGGGCAACGACGGCAGCCTGCTATGTGTCTGCTGTTGCTGCTTGGATCCTGGTCGCTCGCAGGCCGTCCAGCGGAGAGCCGTGGTTGCCACCTCCGGGGCAGGTCTTTGCATCGGCTTTCCTTGGGAAGCCTAGCCCGAACCAGAGCGCCAGCAGTCAGAAGAATTGGATGGCTTTGCTAAAGGCAAATGCCGCAATGTCTGTGCGAACGTTTTCATCGCTCACAACATGGCTTGTAGCGTGTGCCATCATCACAAAGATTGGTGTGGCACCTCCGACCCAGCAATCTGCAGTCTTTGGAGGGTTTCCACCACCGCTGGTTTTGCCCCCTCCCCGCTTTTGCCCCTCTGTCACCCTAGTCTCCAACCAAGGCACCTTTGGCGGCACACACCTGCATGACGAAAACATTCCTGATGCTACTGTACTTGCTGTACGGCTTCCAGCTTGCAGCGCAGGTTTTGGTCAGTGCCGACGTTGTCCGTGGCGACCCCCAGCGTGCCCGCAAGACCGCCGTCCACGCAATTCGCCTGGGTATGGTCGTGGCCAGCTTCGCAGCTCTGAGCCTTTGGCTCGGCCACGATTTCATCGCGAGTGTTCTTGTTAGGGACCAGACCGTGACAGCTGCGTTTGCCACGCTGGTTCCACCGGCAATGGTCATGCTGCTCATCTACGGTGTGATGTGGGTGGCTGACGGAGTTCTCTACGGTCTTGGAGAGTATGTTTGGACGGCCAAGTGCACCTCCTACGCAGGTGCTGCCGCAGTTGTCGTCATGCTCCTCCTGGCCCGCCGAAACATCAGTGCGGTCCAAGTTTGGTGGAGCCTGAATGTCATGATGGCGATACGAGCTATCTTTGGAGTCCGGAAGGTTTTCTTCTCTGCCAGCTCTCCCTTATCGAGGCGCTCGCTGCAGCTCGTCCCTGCCGGTGCCGAAAATGGCAACCCTGCCTGAGCAGCTGCAAAACAAGTCAACAAGTCACCACTTCATCAAGGATCGGTGGCGTACATGCCTCTCGACATCTTGCGAGGGTTTCGGTGTGCAGGGGCAGACGTCGGACGCGCTGTTCGACGCCTTGGTCATGGCCTAAGTTCAGTCGGCAGTCGCTCTGTTCACGGCTCCTGCCCAAAGCGTCACAGGCCGCCGGTGGAGAAGAAGTTCGTTGGCCCGACTTCCGCGCCCTCTTTGCGCAGCTGGAGCTCGGCCCTCTTCCTCCAGAACACAACGCGAGTCTGCAGTCGAAAGACTGGAAGCAGCAGCAGCCTTTGAGGCCGTCGTTGTCAGAAGGTCAGCTACAACAGCTCCTTGGGGCAGCGAGTCCTCACGTGGCCGTGGCTTTGAGCCACTGCCAAGAGTTTTTGCATGTGAACCCCAGCTTCGTAAGGCTCTGGGTTACTTTCGACACGGATGCGGATGGTGGCATCTCTCGGGAGGACGGGCATGCGCGGGCAGAAAGTCGGGAAGAAGCAGAGAGAGAGGTGGGTTGAAGAAGGAAGAAAGAGACCCTGCAGGAATTCAAGAAGCAGCTGGCCAATGTTGAGGCACTCTGAAGGGTCCTCGAGAAGGGTTGCAAAGATTGAATGCATAATCCCGCACAGGCTTCAGCAAAAGCTGGCGTCACCAAAACGAACGTCTCAGAGGTCGGATGGCCAAGTCGGGAGACAAACCTCATACTGCATGTGCTGCTCTGTGCACGGCCAGTGGATGTACTGGGATGGCTCGTATCAGCAAGCGTAGCTGAGCTTGCATAGCTTTTCATGCGAGTGCGCACTCGCTATCCCAAGTGTACGATATTGACACTGGCATGTTTGGCTGATCCCTTCACCTTTGCAGCCATGGACCCGCTTTTTCGGTCCGTGGTCCTTAGTTCCAGGCGCTTAGGTTCGTTGAGCGAGGTGGGAGCAGAAGCCGCCGCGGCACTGAAAGGGGCGAAGCAGAATGTGACGATTTTTGAGAGCACCACAGCAGGTCTCATTCAGGCTTCTCTTCAGTCGTTGCCTGGGGCATCTTCTTACACTACCTGTGGTGCAGTGACGTACGGCAAAGACAAAGCACAGGCCGTTCTCGGCAGCATAGACCTGTCCATGCCTAGGCCGACGGATGGGCCGTCTTACAAGGAGTCCAAGAGGCAATGGACACAGCGTTTGGCGAGATACAAGCGCCAAGAAGTCGGGTCGACTTGGTGCATTTGCGAAAGCGGGGCATGTGGCCCAACTTTCACTTTTCCAGATGTAACAAAAGGCTTCACGGCCATCTTCGTCTCAGGCCCTGTTGAAAAGGGCCTTTTCGTCGAGTCTGAGACCAACGAGCGGGAAGAGAACATGTGGGGCTTTACCAAGCTCGCCTTGGATCTGCTTGCGGAGTGCGTTCGTGAGAGTGCAGAAGCGACAGGGGCAGCGGAGGCCGCAAAGGTCTTGGTGGCCAAGGAAGACCGCTACGGAGGAGTCGAGGCAGAGGTGCTGGGTTTCCAGAAGGACAGCCCTGTCAGCACTTTTGCATCCGAGCTGCGGCAATCCCTGCAAGCCTGGAGCACAGCAGGAAAGCAGGGTATTTGGCTAAAGCTGCCACTGGAGGCAGCTGCCTGGGTGGGTCCTGCGGCAGCAGCGGGTTTTGAGTTTCATCATGCCAAAGCCGACTACGTGCTGATGACACGCTGGTTGGGGGAAGGGCCCAGCACTTTGCCAAAGTATGGTTTCACCCAGGTAGGCGTCGGGGGTGTGGTTCTGAACAGCAAAGGCGAGGTCCTCATGGTGCAGGAGAGGATTTCTCCAATTCCACAGTTTCAAGGATCCTGGAAGCTGCCCGGTGGATTGGCGGATCCCAGCGAGGATTTCGCAGAGACCGTGGTGCGAGAAGTGCAGGAGGAGACTGGGATTACGGCCAAGTTCCTGAATCTGGTGAGTGTACGCCATAGCCATGGATATAGATTCGGGCAGGATGACATCTATGTGATTGTCAAGCTGCAGGCAGTCGAGGAGACAATCTCTATCGACCCGCACGAGCTCGGCGACGCACGGTGGATGAACCCGGACCATGTCAAGTCCTTGATCTCGAGGCCGGCCAGCCATATGATGACAGGGTGACAAAGAACACCTGGCAGAATATTGCTGCAGCGCTGTATGGCGCAGCGATTGAGGGGACCCCTCTGCCAAACTCTCGGGGTGGAAAGATGTCGATGCTTTACACGGGTCCGCAGCCATCCTAGGCTGCTTGCCTGTGCTCAGCTGAGACTCAGCTGCGCCCAGCTGAGCCCTCAACAGGACGCGATTTTCCAGCACTTCCACAGATGTTTTTCGCGTTGTGTACCAATAGTCTCATTGTCTGAATACTCGGGCTTGCATACTGTACAAAAAAACTGTCTATGTGCAGAAGACAGGGGTCGCGATTATTGGATCTTATGAACCCACCTTCCGAGGAAGTCTGCTCAATGGTCACTGCCATGCTGCGCAGAGAAGGGAAGACCCAGGACTGTTGCGGTTGAATGCCTTGGGTGTGAAAAGCCAGTTGCGCATCGCGTGAAGGATCAGCTGTTCGATGCCTTGGCTGGGTTCCCTGTGCTTGTGTCTTTCCACTTCCCGAAGCTACCAGATCTGTGCATCTCAGTGCCTTAGGCCAGTGGCCGCCAAGACGTGACGTGGTCTGATTTCCAAGCTCTCTTTGCTCAGCTGCTGCCGGATCTGGCAGCCTTGGGCTTAGTGACTTTGCGGAGAATCGTGAAAGGCAGTGGCGAATTGAGAAACATGACAGCGGAAAACCTGTCATGAACAGACGCATGCCTGGATGGCAGGAGAGCCAGCTGCAAGAGCTGTGGCAACACTTCGACAAAAATGGAGAAGCTGGCTCAGACTCAGGGTCCTTCGAAGCAGATGCTGTGAGCTAGGGCCTGACCTTAAAATTGGCGTCTCAGGACGGCGGTGTCTCCAGAGAAGAGTTCCATCGCGCTCTGGGCACGGTCAGCAAATCTGCCGAGGAAGCAGCGCAGGAGCTTTGTGGATGCACAGAAGAAACGCAGACGACACACACACACACAAACACAGCACAAGCACAAGCACAAGCACAAACACCAACACAAACAAACACAAACACAAACCAAAAACAAAAACAAACACACACACACATACATACATACCATGCAGCAAGTTCAACCTGCTCTCGCTTCTACGCAAGGGTGCACACGGATGCCGCTGTGACTGTAGACGAGAGGACGTCTGCTCTCGCGTAGCCGCAGCCCTCATGCGTGAGGGAAAGTGAACCCGGCTTGTTGATGCAGCTGGCACTGCTGTGCTCGTTACTCTCAGAATTAGACTCATAATTATCCTGTGATGGTGATAAGCCCTTGCCAGATCAAAACTTTCGATGGCCGAACTAGTGACTCTAGCAACATCATCATCTTCATCATCATCATCAGCATCATCAGCATCATCACCATCATGATCATGATCGTCATCACCATCATCATCATCATCACCATCATCATCATCTACATCTCCAGAATTTCCGTTGGTCCTTGCTGCAGTTCTTGCGATTGGTAGGCTCTAGGATGTAGGAATGACCTGATGCATCAACCAGCAAGGATGCGTAGTTCAGCGTGTTGAGGGTTCAGGCGACAGGGTTCAGTGAGTAATTATGGCAGGTCGGTGATGGAGCTATTCGATGCGCTCGCAGGGTCGAGGAGCTGCAACTATGCGGGATCTCTCCATCACATGGCTTGTGACACGGACCTTGCTAAGCAAGGTAGATGCAACCCCTCTGGCGATGTCTCTGACCAGGAGCACTGTCCAATCGAAGGACTTTGCTGACTTCTTCAGAGTCGTCGAGCCGGCTGCTCTGTTCTCGCGCGGCTCCTTCTCACACATCAAAGCCATGAGCACTACGACGAGGCCTAGCATCACCCACCAACAACTCGAGCTGCTCTGGCGAACGTTTGACAAGGCCTCCTTGCAGAGCTCTTCTGATCCCGGCTGACCAGCGACTAGCAATAAGACTCATAATTATCCTGTGATTGCGATTAACCCTCGCCAGATCGCAACCTCTCGATGGCCGCAACTAGTGACTCTAGCAATTCTCATGCTTGTCCCCAGCTTCATCGTCGTCATCATCATTACATATCATGTCCACCAACAGCATCAACATCTCCGGAATTTCTATTCGCTGTCGATCCCACCCTTGCGATTGGTAGGCCCCAGGGTGTAGGAATGACCTGACAATTCAACCGGAAAGGACGCGAAGTTCAGTGTGTGGAGGGTTCAGGCGACAGGGCTTAGTGAGAAGTATCAGAGCTACGAGAAGAATGGCTTGCATCAACGGCATTAGGTTCATAAGAAGCAGTTCGTATTGCGGATGAGAGACGAACGAAAGCGTCAAGAGCAATGTGCATGCCCGTAGCAATAGGTCAGCAGCTCCAATGTAGAAGAAACAATCAGCCGACATCGGACCCTTCCGAGGCTTAGGGCTTTAGTGTTTAATCCCCGAAGCTGACTTCCTCCCCTGAGAGGATGGGGATGGCAGCGTCACGCGCGAAGAGTTCCAGTCGGGCTTGCAGCCCGGGCGATAGTCTCAGTCCTGCGAAAGTTGGTCGTTGCTTCGGGTCCTCGGTGAAGGTGTTTGACAGCCAAGCTGGAACCGACTTGCGTGCAGCTTTGCGTCAAGAATTTGCTCTTCTGCTCCTCAAGGTCCGTGGCAGCCCTCGCGCCTGCCATGCAGGCCGAGCACACAGTGAGTGGACGTTTTGCCGGTGTTCATCGGTGTGCTGAAGCGTCCTCCTTACTTTGCCAGGCCGGTGCTCCGCCGGATACACAAATCCAGGAGCGGAGACGGTGGAGTTTACATGCCATTCAGTTAAGTCAGTTCAATGTCAAGTTATTTGCCTGTCGTTGCGTGGGCTGCGCAGGCGCCTTCAGATCTGACGTCGGCACTTTGGGCTGCCATATCTGAGGTGGTCAGGGGCAGGGCAACGGTTTGGAGCATAGGCTGTGGGCCTGTCTGAGTCCCGCAGCCAGGTGGCTGCCTTGAGAGCACCGGGTGCGTGGCAGACTCAGATCGGGCTTTCAATCAGTGACTCGTGCCTAGCAGCCTAGCAGGGCCTAGCATGTCAGGCCAAGAGGAAGCCAAGCCTTGCAGCAAGCGGTGCGGCAGCAACTCGCAGCCTTTGACAACACGCTCAACCCCGAGACGAAGGGCAGTTTCTTGAGCGGATGAGGCGTAGTGTGGATGTGGAGTGTCGGATCCAGGCAGACGGGCATGCTGGATCCTGCGGGTTTTGCCAAGGCGACCTTGATGACTAATGCAGTGGCACTGGCACATGCCTTCGCTTTCAACGAGCAGCGCTTTTGAGCCCAGGCATTACGCTCCTACAGCCCGACCCTGCCGGATGTGGCCCTCCAGGCGAGGCCTGTGCACCGAGCCTTATCGGAGTTCAGATCTGGTCTGACTACCAGGTGCTGAGGCAACAAGTCTGTGAAGCTGACGGGACGGTTCAGATCGACAAGCTGGCACCGCTCCTGGATTGCCTTCGAGTTTCATCGCTCGCCCCACGTCGTCAAGTAGCGCAACGGGCCGAACAAGGTGAGCCAGATTCTGCAGCCTCCGGAGTCTACCCGGCCAGTTTCATGCATCTTTGGGTGTGGTGATGTCATTAGCTTTCTTCAACATTATTTCAATGGGGTCCTGTTGCTACTGCTCTTGCTGCTTCCAGTACCACCACTACCAGGGCGCCAGGCCGCCAGAACTTCCAACAGGCCTCTCCGCCTGCCGTTGCGACGTCCGCGATGACTATTGCTGTTATTGCCACTGCTCCTACTGCTCCCACTGCTCCAACTGCTCCTGCAGCTACTGCTCCTCTGCTCCAACCTGAACTGCTCCTACTACTGCTCCGCCTCCTGACCCTCCTCCTCCTGTTGCTCTTCATGCTCCTGCTGCTGCTTCTGCCAGCCCACGCCACTACCGCCACAGCAACTGGACGCCATGCTACCGCCCGGCAACTAGTTTAACATGTCTCATATCAAGTATTCTTTGCTTTTATTCTTGTTGCTGAATTCGTTAGAGTTGTACCCCTTTTCACTCCTTCATTTTCAGCGCCATTTTCCTTGTTATGTTTGCTACCAATGCCAAAATGATCAGTACTGCAGCTATTGCGAAGGTTAGCGCTGACGCTAACGATATCGTGCTTGAAGCGCTTCCGTTAATGTTTTTTCGATTCGTATTGGTTGTTTGATGTTTTTTTGAAGAATTTGCAATGTCAATTATCATCATCGTTGTCAGTGGCATTGTGACTAGTGTTGTCTACGGCTTGCAGCCTCAACGGAAGTGATGCAGACGTGCTCCAGGCCTCCACCGCCAAGATCTTCCCTGGTGAGGACTGAGGCGCCTGTCACAGAGGCACGTGGAACTTTACACAAAAGTAGTGCTGATGATAGTGGCACTAGAAGTGGCGGTATGACTCAATGACTGGGAATGCAATCACAGCACTTATGGTAATGATGTTGGTGGTTATTCTTGCGGACATTGACCGCCTTACTGTTTGCCGTCCGGCCGTCGCTGCTTTCAATGTTGCCTTGCAGGCTGGGGGCCCACTCTGGAGCGCGTTGCGCAGGCTCGGAAGGTGGTAGAAGAGCGGGGAGTAATGCGAGTTTGTCATTGTCGGCGGCCGCACGCGATCACCTCTCGGAGCCATTCTGATCCGCTGTGCCTGTCGGAAAGTTTCAGGATCAGGCCGGGGCTGCACGAGCGGGGTCTCCGCCTGACCACGGCTTTCCAGTACCTCAGCGGCATTTTCTGGCATCTGCAGCCGACAGATTCCCCAGTGACCGTCTCGCAGCCCATTTAAAGAATCCAAACTTAGAAAGCATAGCTTACGTAGCTTAGCAGCTCGGGAGGATGGCCCGAAGGCGCGATCACAGGGAGGGGAATTTTGAAGAAAGAAGGCTTCTGCTCTTGCGGGACAGGCGCGCTGCCGTGGCTCTCCTTCTAGTCCTTGGACTTTCAACTCGTTTGGCTTTCATCCCGAAGGCTGGGTCAGAGCAGCTGCATAATTAGGGGTGCAAAGCTGTGGTCCACAGGTGACTACAGCTGCCACAGGCCGGTCTGCCGACGTGGCAGAAAGCCGGTGGGGGGGAAGGTCTGCCCTTGCCTCTTTCCCTTCAGGAAGTCTCGTGTCACTGCTGGGTGTGCCGGCAGCCTGGGCGGTGACAGAAGGTTTCGAGGCTCTCTGGCTCTCTGCTCTCTTCATGCTCTCGGTTGTCCCACTCTTCGGCCTCGGAAGGACTACAACAAGTTGGCTGTGAAGGCTGCCAAGCCGATCATTGAGACGCCGCCCAAACCCGCAGGGGAAGCTCCAAATGATGCTGTCCAAGTGATAGGCGGGTGCGACGGAGAGCAAGCATGAATGCGGAGACTGCCACATGCAGTCTGTGCTTGCAGGTGGTGCCGGAGTTCTCATCGTCGTTGCGCTTTACCTGTTCGCAGCTACCGTTTTTGTGCTCACCTCAGAAGTGAGATGTATCCGTGGCAACTCGCAGAAGGCTTGATTTGTTTCCCTCTGTCTCAGTCTGGCGGCAATCGAGACAACAACACGCGGGATGGAAAGCGAATTTAAGCTCTGAGCGCTGCCTGCCAAATTGATGCGGAGGCCAAAGCTGCCCAAATGCTCTCAAGCGTAGGGTTTAGGATTTAGCAGGTTTGCAGGGTTTCTACGGCTCTATATCATTTTTGGTAGGAGTTTGGGCTTGTGGGGTTTAGGCTCGCGGTTCACCCTGTCCTCCTCTCGCAAGAGGTGTTGGAGATTGCCCGAGGTTTCCGGATGTTTCCGGCCTCCGGAATTCCACCAGACTTTCCGCTCACATGCGAAAAAAGCAAGCCTGCACAGATGAAGACATTCAGGAGAGGTTGTTCGCATAGTCAGGTAGATGATGCGTACAACGGTGCAGGGTTAGGCCCCGTAGCGACCTCGACCATGAGCGCAAAACCAGCGTGGCGGTGTGAATACGAAAAGGGTTGTTGCGTTTAGTGTTGAGCCATCAAGTTGTCTATCCAGGCGGGTACGTGTGGGCATGCTTTCGTTGTTGCTTGACGACCAACCGACGCACCGGAGGACCTGCTGTTCTAGCTCTTGCCTCACAAAATCCTTGTCTTGCAGAAGACTCTGACTAACAGAATCCCGTGTCTAGCAGAAGATCCTGTGCAACAGAACAAAATACCTTATCTAAACCTAACCGATCGACAACAAGGTCTTGAATATGCTATTGACATATAACTATAACAACTGCATCTGTATATGAATATTTTGAAGTATATGTACATGGTTATGTGCAGGTACGTGTACGTGGTAACCCCCTCACAGATACACTGTGGTCTGCAAATACATGGACACAGATGGACGCTTCACTACTTCCGATCTGGCCCTTCGCCCCCTATCCCAAGCTCCCTCATCCCTTTCTCTACCTCAATCTCGCTCTCTCTCGCTCTCTCTCACTCTCTCTCGCTCTCCCTCTTTCTCCATCTCTTTCAATCTCACTGCATCGTTTTTCCGCTCTTCTCGCTGAGCTCAGGCGCTGGGTGCCCTCTTCGAGCTCCCGGCTCTCTAAGGAATCCCTGGCGCGGGGAGTGGCCCGGATCCCGGGTCGAAAGCAGACGAGAGCGTCTTTCTTGCTTTTGCTGCGCAAGCCGTTAGACAGGGCCGCATGCGTGCTTCTTCTGTTGCGAGTTCTCTTTTGTCTCTCTAGAGACTCTACACATATACATATATATATATACACACACATGCATACAAAGTTCATTTATGTAGCTGTACATATACACAGATATAGTCATATAGTTATTTATTCGGGATCCCACCTCTAAACCCCATGTTCATGTTTTCTAGAGCTTTCCGAAGGCCTCGCTGGTGGGAAGCGACCTGTCGGAGCAGCAGTTGCTCGATTCTTGGAGCCGGTGAGATCTCATAGCGACCGACCGAAACGGAGATGCGAGACTCAAGGGACTAAAGGAGAGACCCTTAAAGGGACCCTTGGGGTTATACAGGGGCTATATGAGACTATATAAGGGGTATATAAGGGATATATAGGGCATTAGGATTAGGGGTCCCTTCTAGGGTTCCCTCCTATTGTCCCTTAAGAGACTGCTTTCGCCTCCGAAGGCGTGCCTTACATGGTGCGATGTGCAGAAATCCCGACGTGGGGGCATCCATGGAGGTTGGAGTCGTGGTCCTGGAATATGCACGCGAGATATGGCTCTGGCTACACGAACTGCAGGAGTTCATCGGCGCATTCAATGCTTGTGAGGGCGAAGGCTTTGAAGCCTATGCTCGTGAGATGCCCGCGCCCCGGCCGTGCTGCCATGCTGCTACTGAAGTCGAGATCTCACTATCTTGTCGTCGGTTTCTGACTTGGGCAAGGCTTCGCCGAGCAAGCCGTGCACTACTCCGTCGTGCCAAGGTTTCCGCTGTTCCTCTTTCCTTGAGTTCGCAGGGCTTTTGCAGTCAGAAGAGGGACCACACAGAAAGCAAGGGCAAGGTGTGGCGTGGGCTGCTCTGTTCTTGCAGGTTCTCTCCCCCAGTCTCGCAGCCATTCTTCGGTCTTGAAGCCATGAAAGCACCCTTTTATCAAACCTACAAGTAAACGGCACGATTCCTGTTGCATCGACGACAGCCCAGCGATGCCAGGTAACGCATGGACCCATTCCCCGAAGCTAAGAGCTTCCGATCCGACCCGTCGCTGCCATGGCGGACGAAGCTGTGGAGAAGACCTGGTCCTCGAAGACCAAGGATTTTTCGTAGGGATAGTTATGAATATGTTGAAATATTTGGTTACGAGAATAGGGTCCCAAGTTCAGTATAGCTTTTGCTCGTCGGACAACTTCTTGACTTACTTGTGGAGGGCAGGGGACGCTACGAAGGAAGTTATCGTTGGGGCTCTCCTGCCCTAAGGGCGAAGCTATCTTTTTTCAGCTATGTCGATCGCGACCGCCAACTCAGAGCTTGCAGCAGGTGTGGTTCCTCGTGTTGTCGCTGGGTCGACAACGAATTTCTGGGCTTCGAGTTATGATAACCGTTGTTTGACGGCAGGTGTGTGTGTGTGTGTGTCTGTGTGTGTGTGTGTGTGTGTGTGTGTGTGTGGGGGGGGCGTGGGGTTTCCCAGGCTCAGTGGCTTATGTCAAACTCCACACCCCGAAAACCCTAGATACTGAAGCCCTGCCCTCAAAGACTTTCTCCCTGAAGGAGATTTTCCAGAAGTGGGATGTGCACAACACTGGGGTGATTACTCGGAAGCGGCTACAAGGGCTCCTTTCGCAGGTGGGCTTAGGGCTTCAGAATGAGAGTTTTGTGTTTGTTTTTGTTTTTGGTTTCGGGTTTTGGGGGCTCAGAGGCTGTAGGATTTTGAGCATTGAGGGCTTGTAGGGTTTGAGGATTCTTCAGGGGTTTGGGGCTTTGGGGTTGTAGGACTTTGGAGCTTTGAGGGCATTTTGGTTTTTGTTTTTTTGGGGGGGTGGTTTTGGCGTTTTAGGGCTGTAGGATTTTGGACTTTGAGGGCATCAGGGGTTTCATTTTTTTTGTTTTAGGGTTTTTAGGTTTGCGGGTTTTCTGTTTTTGGGGCTCTAGGGTTTCAGGATGTGCAGGGTTTCCATGGATTTAGCAGAGGGGCGAGTTAATCGGTCGTTGGAGAGAATTGCCGGAGACCATACTGCAAGCCCTAGGGCCCTAGGGGCTACATTCGCACAGTCCACGTTGGGAACAGGGCACATTTCATGTCCGCTCATGGTTTTGATTTTTCCGTTCTGCTTTCCGTTTGGCCCAGGCCTTCCCTTCTCGCTTCCATTCCCTTTCGTTTGAAGTTTGTTTTCTCAGTTCCGTTCAGGCTTCCATCCAAGGTTCCATCGTCGATTTCGCTTCAATTCTGCTTTCCGTTGTCCTTCTGCCGTCTTCCGGATTTGTGCAGGCTCTTGCACATGAGATAATCCGACATGGAAAGGTTTCAAGGCTTTGAAGCAGAAACGGAAATCCGGGCACCTCTGGAAACCCAACCGGTCTTTACTGTTTGTTTTCTGTCTCCGCTGGTGCCGGATACTCCTTTCCGGTTTGGGTTTTCGATTTTCCAGCCTTTCTGTTTCGGGTTCCGTTTGCTCTTGCGGTCCTTCGGGCTTCTGGTTTCGGTTTCTGTTTTCGTCTTTGCTCTCTGCCGGAGGCAACCAGAACGGAAGGGAGCACCAAACGGGGGAAAGGTGGACAGGAAAGGAAACGTGCGTGGTTAACTCTTGGAAAGTGGCCTTCACAACTTAAACTTTAACCCTATGATGTGGCGGAAACCGAATCAGCAAGGCTCCTGCTACCAGGCTACCTCATGTCATCTTTGGGTTCAGAAGTTTAGGCGGATGGAGCACGGCCGACAATAAAAAGGGGTTTGTAAGCTTTATAGGCCATAAACTGATTTTGGTGCTTCGCTTTTTTTGGCGTTTTTCTGTGAGGTGGCCGGTAAGGCTGTCACCGAGGAGGAGATCGAGCGGTGTATCAGCGAGGCCGTTGTTGTGATCAGCAGTAAGTAGTAGCCTTGGTACGAGCAATGTATGGCGGGCATGTTTCAGATAACTATTTTCCTCATCTAGTCTACCAGGACTAGTCATGCGACTAGTGCAGTACCGTGGGCATGATGAAGATTGCTATTTCCGAGTAGTACGCATAGTAACATAGTAGGTCATCTCGCGTTCAGGGCTTCAGGAAGGTTAGAGCTCGGTGTCCGGGAGGCTGATAAGAACAACAACGGCCTCATAGAGTACAACGAGTTCATCGAGTGGCTACAGCAGCCTTGTGCGACGGTGCGCATGGGATCGCAAGGCCTCGAGTATTTTAGCCTTGAGGCTGCTGTCCGGCCTCTGTATGACGTCTATGACCAGAATGGGGATGGCCTGGTCTCAATGGAGGAATTTGTACAATGTCAGACCATCCTTCAAAACTGCTTGGGCCTCCGGAGTGAGACGGCAGCCCCACTAGAAGACCAGTTCAAGAAGCAGTTGGGGAAGGAAAGCGGCTCAGCGAGCCTCTCCGTCTTCGACAACTCCCCCAAGCGCGCCTTTGGGCATGTGGACGCAGACAACAGCAAAGGGATCACTTTCGAGGAGTTTCTAGACTGGCAGCGGAAGCAGCTGGTAGCAGCACGAACCCCAAGCAAGGACGAGAGGGACCGCATAGTTTGAAGGGAGGTTTCCATGACAGCATACCTCGGCCTAGGTGTCGCTAGATTAATTTTTGCACATCGACGGGCGCCTGCGCTCGGGGGCAGCCTCGTAGACACAGCATGGCTTCTCAACTTGTGCAATCTACGTGTGTGCATGTGTGGGTTTGTCTATATACATACATACATACATACATACCATACCCTACCCTACTGTACCGCACCGTACCATACCATGCATACCATACCCTACCGGACCGTACCATACCACACCATACCATACCATACCATACCATGCCATACCATACCATACATGTATACGTGCATGTGTGTGTGTGTGTGTGTGGGTGTGCGTGTGCATTCATTCCGAAGTGTGGGCGCGCATGCACCAGCAGCGGAACCTGCGGGGATTCAACCCCAACACTCCTGCCATCCCCAACCAGCGTCTGCCAGCATGCAACACATCCCCGCAAAAGTGCGCCTTTTCTGGAGGAGCTGGAGGAGCTGCTCCCTGCCCTGGCGCGGCAACTGAAACGAGTCTTCAAGTTCGATGAGCAAGGAGAGAAGGATGGGAGGGAGGAATGCGATTCCCGGGTCTTGCAGAAGATCGTGGACAACCTCGCATCCTGACAGCATGGTTGGCAAAGTTCTGTCTGCCCTCATCGACCAGCCATAGTGTAGGGTTTCTCAGCTTCTGGGCCAGCTGCCATTAAATGTCAACTGGCAGGCCAAGATGTGTATGGAGATCTGGTCCAAGAAAGCGGAAGAGGAGACCAAGGCCAAAGACATCAAAACTTTCATGGGGAAGGCCGCATCTCGTGCTTGTTGCGCAGCATGCTCAGCAGCATGCGCACACAAATCTACTTGGGAGAGGCCCGCCACTACACCAACCGGTGGACGGAGCCTCCGGTGGGATTGAATGTCAAGAAGCTCAAGGAAGGGCTTGCTTGCATCACAAACTCTTTAGATACCAGTCTGTCGTCCGATGTAGCTGCGCGCCCCAGCATTGCTTGGCCAGGCAAAGTTCCTGGCGACGGAGTCCTGCACGAGGGTGACAGAGAACATGGACTTAGACTTGATGGTCATCCCGGTTCTTGCAGAAGGCTCGAACGCCCTGACAAGCGCTGATGCTACAATTCACACACACTTTGACTGATGCGAGGAGATGACGTAAACCCTCGCAGTCGAATATGGCTGGCCTCTTCGCTGCCTTTGTCAAAGTCGCTGGTTTTGCTGAGTTGCAGCACCGTTTTGGGCTAGCATTGTTGCCAAAATGTTTCCTGCACTCATGCCCTTGTGCAATGCAACCTGCGGACAATATCTGCACTGCAGCCCGAGGCTCAGATCATCCAGAAGGCCTCGTTGTGACCTTTTCGCGGCAGTGTCGTGTAGAATCTCCATTTTCAGATCCTTGAGGGATGTGCCATCGGATCTAAACTAAACCATGATGGGACAGGTCTAGAACTGTCGTTCTTTGCAAACTTGCTACGTGCCGGCGCCAGGTCACGATGAAGGATGGCAAGGTTCGGGAGGACGATCCAGCTCCTCGGTTGGGATTTTGTCAATTTTTCGATTCCGGTGTCCTGGAACTGTGCCTAGATGAAATGCAGCAGCTCCACTTGGAGTCTTCTGATAGTCACCTGCTGGCGCGCGGGCTAAATCCATCTTTGTGCTTTGAGCAATGTTTGTATTGAAGGGGATATAGAAACGATCACTTTTGAGGATGCGGAATACAGGCTCAGCCGCGTGATGTTGGGAATGCCGCTGTGTCGTGTGCGTTGTGCGTGAGAGACATGATTTGGTGAACATTTACGGACATGTTCTGAGTAAGAGGTTTGTAGCAACAGGCAGTACGGAGTGAACAGTAAGGTCTACTACGAATTCGAGTCTTTGTCCTGGCACAAGACGGATGAAGCAGCTCGGCAGTACAGCTATCGTAGGACTTGACAGCATCCCTTGCTTAGCAGCCTTGGAAAAGTTGATGTTTGTGTGCAATGGGGTTGACTCGTCGTTCGTTGACATCCGCGACCATACTCAACTTGTTTCTGCGGCAGCACGAACCCCCTGGTACCCGGTCAAGTTTCTGCTGGAAACATGGACAAAAGGAGCCCGTTGCATGTAGGGCGCTCAGATACTTTGTACTTTCCTCTTGCGTTTTTTACAAGGATCTGTCTTGAGAATGCCAACCTGAGTTCGATGCCATACAATACAGCCGACATGGATTTAGTCAGTTGGCTGGTGCAAATCGGGCCTTCTTCATATTGGAGTGGTCGAACTTCGAATAGAATACTGTGTTCACTGCATCAGGACATCCCTTTGTGTGCACGTCGCATCGACCAGGACAGGATTTGCCACGTAGGACTACTCGAAGCAATCGAACAACAAGCCCTCGGTTGAGAAATGTACAAACGACGTGCTTGTTCAGAGCGACAAGTTTCCTTGTCGACAACTTCGACCTTTGCACGAGGCGCTTGCGACTCGCGGAGAAGTAATTTTGTACGATCATCGCGCACTTGATTGAGCTAACGAGCTTGGCAGCGTGCAGCACAGCACAGGATGCACGTTGGAGAGTTCGGTGGCAGCAGTTGAGAATGAATCGAGAAAGATCGCGGGACATGTTAGCGTCGCTTGTGACAACGACTTGAGCATACTTGTACCAGGGTAAGGCATGGACTGGGCGATACTGGGCGGTTTTCTGACCAAACTGACCCAGAAGTGCAACATTGTCCAACGTGAAGCTGTCCGTCTTGGATACACATGAGAACGCGAGGCTTGTGAGGAGAGCGCAGGATTCAAAGAGGTTTCCCCCCCTGCCCGTCAAGTGTTTTTGCCGTGCTCGTGCAACTCAAAATCAAACGGCTACAGATGACCAAACAGCCCTTCGCTGATGGAAACCCCTTCTTGACAAGACCAATACCGAAGCTTAACGGACAATCTGCTGTCGTTGTTGAAGAGCACGAGGATCCGTAACACAGCAGTCATCATCGGCAGTGTAACGGCAAATATGATAGCAACCGCTCCATGCTGTTGGCGGTATGTGGCAGCGGTTGCAGATGCGTGATCGTTTGCTTTGCGACGTGTTATAATGGGATTACACGTTGTGTTGATTGAGGCCATGGAGAAGTTCCACACCGTCCGGCGCTGAAACCACGTCTGCCTCATGCATGACTTTCTGCCGTCCCCTTTCATCGGAGGCTTTGGATGCTCTGCCACCCGAGCTTCGCATGTTCTCGCTTCTAAAGGCTTGGTTTGCTGGGGATGTGACTTTGGAGCCCAGTGGCCATGTAGATGCTTGACCACAAGTCGGCAAAAGCGAGCTTCCTTTGCGCACCGATTTTTGCGCAGGCCGAAGCTGACTTCGGTACCAAAATCACCTGGGAACAGGTCGAGAAGGTCTTGAACAGGTGCCGGCCCAACGGATCCGTAGAATGTTTACACCGCTGCTGTCAGTGCTCCTGGCTTGAGCAGGATTGACCTTGAATGATGCCAGTCGTGACAGGTGCCTGGGCCACGGGGTCCTGACTGCCACCCAGATCTCCGAATATACCAGCAGCATGGAGCTACGCGTGACGAAGGCGTTGAAAGATGAGGAGTCGGGCCGGGTGTATCGGCTGGGAGTCGTTCGGCATGTCCCTGTCGCTCTTGCAGCAGAGTCAGGATCTGCTCTCGGGCATGTCAGCAGAAGAGTCCAAGAAGAAGATCCGGGACAGCCTCCTGGCCGTCTCACAGAGGTGGGATGCTCTGGGTGGCGATTGCTCCGTCTGACTTCTTGCCACAGTGCCCCTTCCAGGCCTCAAGACATCATGGCTACATAGCTGCATTTGAAGTGCTTGGTGGCTCATACCCTCAAACGACCCACCCTCACCTTGACGTAACTGCGCCTGCACAAAGGCCATGCTCAGTGACTTAAAAATCTTCAAAGTCAGCTCGGTTTGGGCAGATTTCATGACAGCCGACTGAGAGGATGGCTCTGAATTGCTGAAAGCAAGTCAAGTGTAATGCATGTCTCATGCTTTGCTGCACAACGCTTGGTGAAGAGGCTCACCGTCTGCTACAGTATCGCATGTTCGCGGGAATGTCAGCAAAGATCGTGCCGCAGGATATGAACATCATGTCTTGTGGCAACCTACATGACATCTGTGTTCGCGAGTAGCAGTGCGCCGAACGGCTTACAGAGCCCCGGTCCACTTGCATTTGCAGCCGTATCACACTCTCTTCAACCGCTAGCGTCTTTTTCGTTTCTAGCCGAAGAGGCTCCTGAGAGTCAATGCTGCTCCCCGGATAGCCTCCTGCGATGGGAAAAGAATGAAAAAGAAACCTGCATCTTCGGTTTGACTTACTCCGAGTTTGAGGGGCGTCCCAGCAAAAAGAGGACTAGCAGCATCTTGCAAGGGCTCGCTCTCCGGGGCCTTCGCGACCCTTGACATCACAGGCGAAGGGGAGGTGAGCCGACCCCTCAGGCGCGACGAAGCCCTCAGCTCTGGCGTCTTGGCGCCTTCTTTGCTAAGGACTTCCTGGCTTCAGAGCTGCTCTGCTTCAGTTCGGCGTTGGCTGCTCAGGCTAGAGCTTACAGTCAGCAGAGCTGGCCAGAAGCATCCCAAAGCCATCCAAGGACTTAAACCTCACAGACGAGCAGGTCAACAAGCTCTGGAAGCCGAGGGCTTGGCCTCAAAAGCGGCTGAACTCCCCTCATAGCACCAACTTTGGTCATCCCAGTCATGAACAAAAACAGCTTGACCCTGCTGCTTGAATCTGCATCGGTCAGGATTGCACAAGCTCTGGGAGGGTGCAAGGATGCCTGAAGCCTGGCCTGCTCGAGTGATGATCAGCAAGCTTCTGCCAAGACTTTCCCAGGAAGCGATGGACTTCATGTCCTTCAAGACTGTCTTCGGCCCGTCCGCCGTCGAAGCTCCGGGCGATGCAGGTCCAGCCGCCTTGCGTTTCTTCCTGGTGTCACAGCGATCCTTGACATCCTTCCTGCTACCTCGCGGAGCAGGGAGTAGCAGCCGAAACCCTAAAAACACCAAAAACCCTCAACCCATTTTGATTCTCTTTCGGCCAGGTGATGGCGAGGAGGATGCTGCCAGAGCTGCAAAGCGCGACCCAGGGCCGAGCCTTGAAGAGACCGGCCCTCGGACAGGGTCGCACCATCCATCTACTCTTATCTATCACTGTCGATCACTATCCATCCATCCATCTATCCATCTAGCTATCTATCTATCTATCCATCTGATCTATCTATCTATCTCATTAACTAAACTGCAGCAACGACAGAAAACCATAGCCACTACCACTGCCGCTACTGCTACCGCTGCCACAATTACAACAACTGCTACTGCTTCTGCTGCTACTACCACTGCTGCTACCACTACTGCTACCACTACCACTACCACTACCACTACCACTACCCCTACCCCTACCGCTACCGCTACCGCTACCGCTACCGCTACCGCTACCGCTACCACCACCACTCCTACTCCTACTCCTACTCCTACTCCTACTCCTACTCCTACTCCTACTCCTACTCCTACTCCTACTCCTACTCCTACTCCTACTCCTACCACTACTCCTACTGCTACTGCTACTGCTACTGCTACTGCTACCTGCTAGCTGCTAGCTGCTAGCTGCTAGCTGC